GTGAGTCAACAGTCCCGACGTTCCCGTGTTGGGTGAGCAGGACCACATGCTAAGCTGCGGGAGCCCACACAAGAGGGACTCAGACAACTCAGATTTTAGCTACCTCTGAAGAAAGCACAGTAGAAGCCGGCAGAGTCTCCACTGTGGTTCCTGGAAGTATGATCAAATATATCTTGGAGACCTCAGATTTGTCAGAAAGCATTCCTCCTACACTCGGAGGTCACTTGGAAAATGTTACGTCTCCATAGCTATGGCCAAAAGCTCCCCACAAAATCCTCTCTGGATCATCCTCACAGTAGTTTCCAATGGGGAGGGCCAGCCCTGAAGCAGTGTTAGCATCATGGCACCACACTCCAGAGATGCCAATGGAAAGATTGGTGGGACTAGAGCTGACCTCCCGAGTTTGAATTCTGCTACCCCTCTTAATAGCACTATGACCTTGAACCAGGTACTTAACCTCTTTGAAGCTCCGTGTCCTTGGCTGTCAGATGGGCATAATCTGAGTGATTCTGAGGATTACACTAGTAACAGTGCCTGACTCTTAGTAAAAGCTCAATAAATGTCAGCCCTCTGGGAAGACACGGAGTGTTTCACATAGAAGAGGATCTTTGTTATCATTCCAATTCAATGCTTGAAGTAGATATAATAGAACAGCAAAGGGAAATGCATGTAAAGGAATGCTGTTAATGGAACAGTGGTGGAGAACAACCACTTCAGAGGAGCTAAATTTCCCCCCTCAGCTCTGCCAGGGTAAACATCATTACCAGGCTGAAAGCCTTTGCTTTGTTCCCTGACATTTTTAGAGAAAGGAGGAAGCTAGGGCAGTCATACCTCTTCACTTCTCCTCTGACCACGCTGGGCTGATTAATGCCAACAGGCAGGGTGAACAGTGCTTAAGGCTATGGACTCTGGAGCCAAGCACTTTGATCCAAACCCTGATTCTGCTGCTAACTGGCCGTGTGCCCTAAGACTACTTCCTCCACCTCCATACCCCTCAGTTTCTTCATCTGTGAAATTGGGATAACAATAGCATCTACCTTGGGATTTTTGTGAGAATTTACATATGTAACCATACTTAAGCCTCTGAGAACAGTGCCCAGCAAAGTGGGTGTTGTATAAGTGACAGTGATTATAAAATCTGTTATTATTAAAAACAATACAATATAAGGAATTGTTCAAATGTACAAAATCATGAAATACTGAGTCAAGACCAAAGTGTCTTGTCAAAGTTGGTGGTCACTAGGCAGTTAATTCTATGAAGTCAAGAGCTGGATTTTGTTCCTACTCTCTTTGTTAAGAAAACAAATAGACAAGGCATGAAGCCTGAACTAGTTAGAAGGTATGATGAGGAGGAAAGCACACTAGATTTGGAAGTGAAAACCCTATGTGTGAGCAGCGCTTAGCCCCATTCTAATCTGAGCAGGTGTCTTCACCTTCCTGATACTGTCTCTTCATCATTAAAACAGGAAGGTCAATGAGAGCGTTTCTAAGGTTCACTCCAAATCCAAAATTCTATGTTGCTAGGTAGCCTTTGAAATTTTACAGAAGACAATATAATTATGGCTATCGAAGTCTTTTTTATGTACCTAGGATTATCAAGTTGAAGACAATGCCATTTGTTTGTGTTTTCTGAGTCATAATGCAAGAATCTGAACTATGAACAGATCTTTAAATCCATGAAAATGGATTATGTTTAGCACAATTGATAACTTTTAAACCTCTCCGATTGTGAGAATAAAACTGATAAGGACATCTTTCCATCCATTTTAAGTGAATTTTTACAGACTCTGAGAATAAAACATAATCCAAAGGCATCTAATGCTAATTTATCATTAACACAGAGAGATTGAAAGTAGAACTCTTGTGGAGTTTAGCTTAGCAATTCTCAACTAAATGAAATTAAGCTGATTTAGTTGAGCTTTTGAGACATCAGAGTGGAAGGCATAAGTCCAAAAGATTTGGGGGGATAGCACCAAGACTGCCTGTCTTCAGATCGTAGGCTGGGAACGAGCTTCGAGCGGCTCGTCTGCTGAGGATCAGCTGCCTTCGTAGGTTTGATACATTGGGTAGAGACACAAAGATTTCACTTGGGAAAAAAAAAAAAGATTCCGTGGTGGAAAATAAAAAGAAAAAAAAAGGTGGGATGATTATTTGAAATCAAAAGTCTGGACTAAGAACACTGGTTTGGGGTTAAACAAAGTTTAAATTTTAGTTCTGCTACTTTTTCGCTATGTGACCTTGGGCTGGTTGTTTAATCTCCCTGAGCCACACTTTGCACATTTAATAATGTCTCTTACTTCATGGGGTTTCTGTGAGGATTAAATGAGATCATACATGTAAAGTATTTGGCCCTCAACCTCTAGAACATAGGAAGCACTCGATAAATGGTGGTCATACTTACTCTCCTAAATGAACGACGGGGCAGGCCATCAATATTCCCCTCTGGTGAGCTTCTCGGTGCTCCCTTTGGAATGCCTCAGAGTTGTCAGAAGCACTCTTTAAGCCTTCTGCAATCACAGTTTGGGTCCAAACCTCCGTCTTTCTCGTGAGCCCTAAAATACCTATGGGTTTTTTTTTCCCCAAGATCTATTCATGGTTTTATGTGGGCACTGGACAAAGGCTCACTTTGTAAGACTGTCCATCTAGGTTAAAAATAAATATGCAGAAATGTGTGGAACTTCAACAATAGAATATAAGGAAAATAGATTATTCTTAGCTGAAAACAAAGACATTCTAGTAACTGAATGTGTTTGTAAATACATAAAAAAAAGGCTGGAAATTATGAACACCAACATGGTAGCAACAGTTACATCTGGGGAAGATTGGGGAAGAGGTGGGATTTACCTTAACATTGTCTTAATGTCTTACACATTTATTTGCATGTTGATTGTATAATTAAAAACTAAACAAACAAACAAACAAAACCCCCAAAACCAAACAAACAAAAAACCAAAGCCCAAAGCAAAAGTCATGGTACAAAATGACATGAACTTTTGGAAGAGAGAACTTGTGTACCAGTAGACAAGAATCAAGGAATTCATCTTTGGGTCTGTCCATGACTTCTTACAAAGTCACATTCTGCTGATTTTGCTGTCCTTGAGGAGTAAGGAGACCAGTAGGGGGATTTCTGATTCTATCTCCAGCAACTGATAAACCCAGGTTAAGAGGCAGTTGAAGCTGCTGGCCAGAAAATCTTGGTACAGACCTCTTTCTCTCTGCCAAATAGATAAAACCCTGGCTAGTTCTTTGAAAATTCAAGGTCGACAGCGGTGCCAACTGAAGACGATTGGTAAATTATGCTTTTAAACAGAAAGAAACCAGATGGTAAATTATACATCTGTTAGTACATTTTGATAGTAAAGAAAATAAGTGACAACTTAAAAAAAAAAATTCTACTTGACAGCTACTTGGTTGATAAAAAAAATGCCTAACTGAGGAGTTTTAAAATATCACCCTCATTCCCCTCCCACCAATACCACTAAATAAATTCATTAATTCAAAGAGAGTAAAGAGTTTAAGCACTGAATTATGGGCTATGACATTTTTTTTTTTATTATTAGCAAAACATTTGTTTGCTGTTGGAGATTAGTTTTCACAATGGGCCCATTCCTTGGAAAGAAACATTTTGGCTACAGGGAAAAAACCAAGAAACACTGCAGAGCTCTGAGAAGTTGCACTGACTTGTTTTGGTTCAGCCTGCAGCCTCCACTAGTGAGGGATCTCCAGGAGCAGCAGGAAGGACAGGGTGGTTTTGCCTTGGTTTTAATGCAGATGTTTTGGCCCATGGACCTGAGGGAAGGTTGTGCTTTATCAATGAGATGAGACAGTCAAAGGGAGCCTATGCCTGCCCTCTAGCTGGGCCTGACCTACTGCTTCCAGAACTGCCTTTCCAGCTTGCCCATTTGGTGCAGGGTGGTGGTCTGGTCCAGTGTGTAATTCATTGTGTTCCGCTGGTGGGTTAAGTGAAGGGCTGTGCCTCAGGCACAGCACAGAAAGGACCTGAATGAAGGGCGGGAAGAATGAATGGAGAGAGCCATTTTGATGGCATTGCCCTAGGGGATTAAATAGGACAGGGCATCTGGGGGCTGAAGGAAGGTTCTGTTGCTTACGAAACTCTCCATAAGAGTATCAGTCATCAGTCCCTTAACCATCATACATTTCTTACCTCCCACTTGTGTATAAATCTGCAGGTTTATGCAGACCACCAGCGTGACTATTACAATGCATTCGGTTTATGGTGAAACACACAAAAAAAGACCTTTCCTTTTTTTTTGCTCCTTTATAAGCAAAGTGATGTTAACACCCTGAATGGAAGAACAAGGAATTGAAGGAATAAATACATACAGCAGCATAACCCCATCTTGTCACTTGGATTCAGACTATCCGCTGTTCTCTCGAAAAGAAAGGCAGTCATACCAAGCAACATTGAGGCAACTTGAAACAGAATTTAAAATGCTGGATTCCATCATTTCTGCAAAAGGTCATTCTAGTCCTTTGCTATTTTTACCATAGACAGAGACTCCGCAAGTTATTGGCTGAATGGATTTGGGAAGCCGAAGCTGTGGCTTCTAATGAAGATGGCAATAAAGCACTTGAGACAGTCAATGAAAGGTGTGGAAAAAGTTGAACCCTTCAAAGATAAGAGAGAGGAGAGCTACTGAATTAGTCCCTGACTGAATTACTAGCCATAATTGTACCCCGGGCCAATTCTCTTTGACACTGCCTGTCATCTTGTGGCTTTGAGAAATTCCCATTCCAGGCTCAAACCCTCTCTAAGGCAGCCCAGCCCACCCCCATCCTCTGAAAGCAACTGTTCCGAGGCGCCCCCACCCACAAATTTGCATCAAGACAGGTATAATTCCCAGCTGGACCACGGCTTCCAGAAGCTCGCCTGTCCTTCGGGGTTCTGCAAGACAACCTTAGGCTTATCCCAGGCCAGCAATCAAAAGCATTTCAGAGAAGAGCAGAAAACAAAAGAAACAAACAAAACCTGTCCTTACCCGCTTCTTAAAAAATTGGAAGGCTGAGCATTTCTTGACTGGGAATCCATTCATGTCTTTGTTTACCATTTTCCACAGTAGGGAGTTCACAGTTATAGATCCAGGGTGGCACCGCCTGGTGAGTGCAGGGGGTCCCCGGCTGCCCTCCCGGACACAGCGAAGACGGAGCGGGATGGAGAACCTAGCGGGGCTCCGGTCTTCACTCACACATTCTGCAGCGCCGCTACTGCAGCAACCTCTCCCCACTCTCAGTTGCCACGGGCAGTGGCTTTGCGCTTCCCATCGCTGCTCCGAAACGCGGGCATCGGGGCGGCCGGCCCCGCAGGCTGCGGCGGATCCCGGGGAGATGTTCTGCGGCTGGGGAGCCGGAGAGGGGCACCCCCTGCGCGCCCCCGGCTACCTGGCGGCTCTGCGGCGGGAGCGCGGGGCCCGCCGCCCGGCTCCAGGTGATGCGCGGCTGGAGGCTGCTCCGGAGGAGAGCTGTTTTTATGATCGTGCAAGTTCCAGTGGGAGCTGTAGTTAAGCAGCTGAGAGAAGGAGTAAGAAAAAGCAGAAGCCGAGGGAGGGAGGGAGAGGGAGAGCAGCGCCAGAGAGGCAGAGAGAGAGAGAAAGTGCTGCTGAAGACGCAGCGATTCAGGAATATCTGAGCAGCCCGCGGACAGAAGGCACCGGCTCAGGATGCACTGAAAAGCAGTTGACAACCCCTCGGGAGGGCTACTTTGATAGCGTGTTTCTTTTCTTTTTGTTGTTAGGACCATTTAAATCGGTTTCCTATGAAATGCAGACCGTTTTTGTTTTATGCTCATTGGCATTCTTTTGATACGTATTCCTGAATATAACAAGTCTCTCAATGGAAATTTAATCAAATTCATTCCCGATCTGTCCAAATGGGGAGAAAAATGAAATAAGGTGCAAGCGTAGGTAGAACAATGGAGGCTCTCATACTAACTATATAGAACCTCTTCTAGTGTCCTCTCCCCACTTGTCATCATGGAGTGGGCAACAGTGAAAGTTAATTGCCTTTTTCCCTAAAGAGGGCTGTTAAAAAAGAACACAATGGACATACACAAAGTGTCTTATGGTAAAACACACAAAGAGCATTACCAAAAAGTATTACTGACACCATCTGATGGAAAGGAAGCCCTGATGAATGAGAGGAAAGCCTTTACCTATCAAGTGGAAATCTACCCCCGAAATCCTTACCCACGTCATTCTTTGCATATTAAATTCATTTTTAAAACACCACTTAACTTGTGTGACCTATTCTCCCATCTTTACTCTTTAATGTTGATATTTTATGGAGACTTCTAAAAAATGAGAATTGATGGGTAAATGGAGAGAGCAAAGAAAAGAAACTTGGCATCTGATCTGGCCTGCTAGCACGTCCCTGCGTGGCTTTCTGTCAGTCACCTGACCTCATGGTGCCTCTCAGACAGTGCCTCATCCAGGACATGGAGGCAACTGCTCATTCATTCCTTTCTTCCTTTACTCATTCACTTATTTAGTCATTTACTTGTTTGCTGTGTCATTCCATGTATCCATCAAATCAAATCCAAATGTACCAAGTGTCCCCAGGATGCAGAGCCTTTTCATAGTCACCAGGGAGTGTAATCGATAAATAAGTAGGCAAGTGCCTACTTGATAAAACAAATGGCCAGCTCACTAAAAACAATATACCTAGAAGAGAAACATACAGGTCAATTGGGAAGAGATGCATTGATTTCATTGAATTGGAGTATAAATCTCTGTAGCTGGACTAGGTTTCTTTGGGAAATGACACTGCAATCTGATTTGCTAAATGCTTTGAGATTTCCAAAAGAAAAACGCCACACAACCAAATGATGGCATTATGACTAAGAGAAAATAAGCCATTCATTTTGGAGAGATACGTTAAGTTGTCCAAGATGCAAAGATATGTTATTTAATCTACAACATCGATCAGTTTTGTGGTTCTTCTAAAGAGTTCGTTTACAATTCCGGTAGTTCAAAGAGAATTTTTGAGGATTGTAGAAATGTTCCCTACCATGATTATGATAGTAGTTTTATGACCATGCATTTGTCAAAAGTCATCAAACTTTTATATATGAAAGAGGAAGGACATTTTGTTGTATGTAAGTTATAGTTCAATAAACCTGATTTTTAAAAAGCATGACCATCCAAATTATTTCCTGTTCTTCATCTTTCTTCTCTCCTGAAGGCATTTGAACAGATACTTACTGAGTTTGAGGGATACCTAGAAGGAGCTCTCTAAGCATCCTGTGGGAAAGGGACGCTAGGGGCCTTGCCTTGGTTCTACCCTGGCCTAGCACGCATACTGGTTTTAAGTGCCCTGTATGTTTGCTTGGGGTAAAGAAGGGATGGCTAATAGAAACTATGGGGAAGAGGTAAAGGTAAAGTTAAATCCTCTCTCTCCTCCCCACTATACGCCATCCCTTGGAGATGTCGCCACTGTCTCTGAGTCTATGCTAATCCTTTGGAGGAGTCTGTGAATACAAATATCAGTAGTTTCTGTCGCTAAGGAAGTTACAGCCTAGTGGAGAAATATACACTGTGGTAAGGATGGATCGTTGAACGCTCTATCAGGAATGAGCGGCGCACTCTATGTTGGCTGGTTGAACATAATACTAATAAAATAAGAAGAATACCTCTAGCTATACCAACATTATCCCCGCCTTGGTTTGGAGGGTGGCAAAGTGGCTTAGAGCGGGTAGGGGAGGCCCGGGAAGTGTTTTTTCAAAGGGAGAATGTTAGTGCAAAGTGTCAAAGAAAGAGTAGAAGTTGACCAGATGTAGGAGAGGAAGCATAGGGCAGAGGTTCTGGCCAGATCAGGAAGCCTATTACTTTGGACCGTATTTTGGTCACTGCAATAAATAGAGAAATGTTTTAAGTGTTAAGCCAACACTGTGTTGGCTCCTCAGGGAAAAGAAGACATTTCTCATCTCACTCTCACCTCTGTTTTTATAAAATCACCTGCAGGTAGGCCTAGAGTGACCACCATGTACTAACTGTCTCCTTTGCCAGGCTTCTTGCCACTTATGACGTAACACAGACCACTGCTTATGGCAAAAAGGAAAATCAGGATTCTTCAAACATCCTGTTTGCACATAAACTTGCTTTATTAATTCAATTAATTTACTTACCTGCTTTTCTCATTAAACACGCTTATTCATTTTTGTAGCCCCAACACACTGTGGAGTGCCTGGACCATGCTTGGCAGTCAATGAATGGTTTTCAAATAAATCAAATAAGGGTGCCTGGGTGGCTCAGTTGGTTAAGCGACTGCCTTTGGCTCAGGTCATGATCCTGGAGTCCCGGGATCGAGTCCCACATCGGGCTCCCTGCTCGGCAGGGAGTCTGCTTCTCCCTCTGACCCTCCCCCCCTCTCATGTGCTCTCTCTCTCATTCTTTCTCTCAAATAAATAAATAAAATCTTTAAAAAAAAAAAGCAAATAAATCAAATAAAAAACTGTGAAAAGCTAACATCAGTGACCCTGGCACAGTCCATCTGTGGGAATCGTTAAACACCTTTGAGATTCTGAAACAATTAAGTGAATTCCCATCATAACCAGTGTACTGAGCTCTAGTAAGAACAAAGGACCCGCGGTTGTCACCATTTCTTCTTTAAGCCTCAGTGACATCACGACCCTGGGATGACACATCTTTTTATGGAAAACTCTAATGTTGAAAAGAATCCCTTGAAACTCTGTTTGCTTTTGTGCAGTATATTCACTTTTTTTCTCCCAACAATATTGTTTGAACTATAACACAAAAAATAAAATAAAGTGGCTGGGTAGAACTGATGACTCATCTATACAGGAGGTGGAGAGAGTGCTCAGTGGATGTGGGAGGTATGGTGACCTCCGTGTGACCTTGAACAAGTCCCTTCAGTTCAGTGAGCCTCAATATTCTCATCTGTAAAATACTACTATAAAATGCATCCCATTTACCTCGTAAAGCAATTGTCAGTACCAAATTATATGTGAAAAGGCTTTGCAAAACAATAAATAACTCTACATTTTTATTTTACTGAAACAAGAAACATATACCACTGTAGTACTTTTTTAGAAAGCTTATCTTTCCATAGATTAAAGTGTTTTTTGTGATACATTAGTCATCAAATGGAATGTGATTTTTTTTTCCTAGAGCAACCTGGAAGACACAAAAGATAATAAACAATAAAATATCTGTCTAGTGACAAATGTCTCTAAGGAGAAAGGGACACAAATAGACCATATCATGAGAAATGTTTTACATTCCTCTTTGGCCTGGGTGACTTGATCATATGCTTAAAACTCCAGCCTAAATGGTAGTGATGTATGTAATTAAGAATTAGGAAAGCCCATTGGGGATTCTGGTATTGTTTTTGTGTATATGAAAACCTTTTTAGAAAAATAAACAAAAAAAATCAGAATCCTTTGGTTTAATCAAATTAAATTTCATTTAATTCATGCATTAGGTCAAAGGAAAAGTTACAAAAGAAAAACCAAACCTAAAATATCAGTTCATTGCATCTTTTCTTTGAGAGGATTATGTACGAATAAAACGAATCAACACCAGGGTGGGTTCATGGCCTTTTGTAGAAAAGATGCAAGTAGCAACGGGTTGTCCTTCCTTTCGTAGATAAGAGATCGAATAAGGATAAAATGCTTCATACTTAAAATTTGTTTCCATTCTCGCTATGCTAAAAAATAGGCAATTTATAAACATACAGCTTCCTGATAGAGTCAGTATTTATCAACTATATTCTTCTTTTTTTCTTCTTTTTTTAATCATTTTATTTGTTTGTTTTTTTTAATAATTTTTTTATTGTTATGTTAACCACCATACATTACATCATTAGTTTTTGATGCAGCGTTCCATGATTCATTGTTTGTGCATAATACCCAGTGCTCCACGCAGAATGTGCCCTCTTTAATACCCATCACCAGGCTAACCCATCCTCCCACCCCCCTCCCCTCTAGAACCCTCAGTTTGTTTTTCAGAGTCCATCGTCTCTAATGGTTCGTCTCCCCCTCCGACTTACTCCCCTTCATTCTTCCCCTCCTGCTATCTTCTTCTTCTTCTTTTTTTTCTTAACATATATTGTATTATTTGTTTCAGAAGTACAGATCCGTGATTCATCAGTCTTGTACAATTCACAGTGCTCACCATAGCACATACCCTCCCCAATGTCTATCACCCAGCCACCCAATCCCTCCCACCCCCCACCACTCCAGCAACCCTCAGTTTGTTTCCTGAGATTAAGAATTCCTCATATCAGTGAGGTCATATGATACATGTCTTTCTCTGACTGACTTATTTCACTCGGCATAACACCCTCCAGTTCCATCCACGTCGTTGCAAATGGCAAGATCTCATTCCTTTTGATGGCTGCATAATATTCCATTGTGTATACATACCACATCTTCTTTATCCATTCATCTGTCAATGGACATCTTGGCTCTTTCCACAGTTTGGCTATTGTGGACATTGCTGCTATAAACATTGGGGTGCACGTACCCCTTCGGATCCCTACATTTGTATCTTTGGGGTAAATAGCCAGCAGTGCAATTGCTGGATCGTATGGTAGCTCTATTTTCAACTGTTTGAGGAACCTCCATACTGTTTTCCAGAGGGGTTGCACCAGCTTGCATTCCCACCAACAG